CATTGATCTTCTTTGTGTCAATTTTTTTGCTAGTATACATAACATCTGGATGTTTTGGTGAGATAATTTGCAATGGTTTAACTATTTTATAGGCATTTAAGAATTGTCTTTTAATTTTATTTGCATTTAAATCATTTGAATCTTCCATGATTTTAATCCATTCAGAAAGTTTTTCTAAAATTTCACTTGCGGTAGGCCGGTTTTGTGGATCAGAGTCCATACATTGGTTTGCCAATTCAACATAGTAGCTAGGTGTTTCAGGAACAAATTCAGGCCGTAATCCAGAGTAAATTTCTATTGCAAGATTAATATCAAATTTATAACCATCGAAAGGTCTTTGTCCAGTTGATACCTCAGTCATTATGATTCCAAAACTATAAATATCGGCGGCTTGTGTAAGCTCTTGACCTGATAAAACTTCAGGAGCGACATAAGGCAGGACTCCATAAATTTCATCCCCTGAATTAATTTCGTTATACTTTTTAGATAATCCTAGGTCTGTGATGTAAGATCGTATACCTTCACTCTTGCATTGATCTAGCAAAACATTACCACTATGCAAATCTGCGTGAATGTATCCTGCATAATGAATATTGTTTAAATCATCTGAAATATCTTTAAGTATTTTTAACTTAAAGTGCCAGTTTAAGCTTTGAAATTTCGGTTTTAAAAAGTTATGAAGACTTCCATTATTTGCATATTGAAATACCATCATGTATTCGTTTGAGTTGTTTAGAGTTAATCCAAACACTTTAAGTTTTTTACCATAACATTTACATTTCATAAAATTATTAAACTTTATAAATTTAATTAAATAAATTAGTTCATTATATATTAAATAAGTTGTAGAATAAATAATGATGAGCTTACTTCTTTTAAAGAATCATATAAGTTCTTGAGTGCAACAGTACTAAACGGTTCACGTAATCTTACATATTCATCACAATCAGCGACATATTTAATTTTCCGCAAACCATCTAGCCAGGTTGCAGAATATATTGTGCCAAATCCTCCTCTACCAATTTCTTCAATATTATCCAATCTATTAAATGGGATCCATTCAATCAAATTTTCGTATTCAAAAGTTCTAAGTTGGAACTCCTTTATGCAATTATCGATATCCTTATTTCCACTTGTCCATTCTCGAATTGTTATGTCGGGATCACATGTCTGGCACCAAGCCTTCTGTGTATTGGATTTATTACAACACGCACATTTTCCATAGGAAGAAAATCTTTATAATCATTAATTGTGTATATTTTTCATATTAATTATTTGGCGCTATTTTTTGATTTTTTCTTTTTGTTTTCAAAAAAATAAAATTTATGCTCACCGACTAAATTAATAAGATAAAATCTTGTAATTACTCGATGGCTTGTTTTAAATTCATCAATTAATAAATTATTTTATACTCACCCACTGAATTAATTTGAATAAAATAAAATTTAATATTTACTATATAGAATTATTAATGTACTTATATCGATTAAATGTTTTTCTTATGCTCACCCACTAAATTAATAATGAATTTATATTATCGTAAATCGCTTTATTTAAATATTTTAATTAACGAATGTTTATACTCACTACCTACAGTAAATAGCGTGAAAAAATAGTTATTAATTTTAATGTTTTAATTATAGTACTTAAATTAGTGAAAGCTCTTTATATATACCGACTAAATAAAATCAAATATTCATGAACTTAGAATAGCTTATTATAAATACATGGATAACAACCGTTCTTTATACTCACAGACTGCATTAATGTAAAATTAAATATTCATAAATTAAATAATTTATTTTAATATACATGTATTAATAAGTGATAATGAAATCAGATCACAATGAAATTTAACTTATTTTATATCCGTTTTTAAATTTCCTTTTTTGTTAGGTTTTTTTATATTAAGTTAGGGTTTAGGGTTAGAATTATTAGGAAATGAGTATATGTAGATTTTGGTAGAGCTTATATATTTAAATTGAGGCCCTAAATTTCACGATGATCTGATTTCATTATAATTTGCAACAATAAATGATCATGTACTTACTCACTAAATTAACGAGAATAGAATATTGTTTATGATTTTGCATAGCTTACTTTAAATGAATATATTAATAAAATTCTTTATACTTACTCCCTAAATTATTATGAATTAAATATTCATGAATTTAAATACCCAAGTTTAATCACGTAGGATAGGAAAATATTTTCATACTCACTTACTAGATAAAATTAAATATACAGTATATGAATTTAAGCATTTTATTATACACATATTGCCAAATGTTCCTTTATACTTACTTTCTATGTTATTAAAAATTTCATAGACTTAAATCAATTATCTCAAATATTTTATTAATGAATGATCTTTGTACTTACTCACTAAATTAACGCGGATGTATGAGTTAAACTTTTAAACCACGAAATAGCTTGAATTAAACACATAGTTATTGATTTATACTCACAGGCTAAATTAATGCAAAATAAAATGATTTTGATTTTGTTTAAATGAAAATATGCTAATAATTGGAAGTAAACTTACTCTCTAAAGAATTAAATGGTTTTTAAGGAAATATTTGAATTTCTATTATTTAAATTTAATAACAAATACATTGAATAATTACTTACTTTTCAAACCAGTTATTGTATTTATTAAGATTCTTTTTAACACCAACCCCATAGTAGTAGCAAAATGCAGTTTTCAAAATCCCATTAGAATTTCCCACCTTAGCTGATTCTCGGTAATGCAAAAACGCTTTACACTTATCTCTTTCAACTCCAATTCCTAAATAATAGCATTGGCCAACTTGATACATTCCATTAGAATTACCCATTTTTGCAGATGCTTTATAATGTTTTAATGCCTCATACTCATCTTTTTTGACTCCAATACCATACTCGTAACAATAACCAAGCCAGTATTTTCCATCTGAGTCATTATTATCGGCTAATTTTTGACAATTAATGTAATTCAGTTGGTTAGAAGCATAGGTAACATGAGTAATTTCATTTGATTGGTTATTATCTTTTGTATTTGACATTTTAGACACAATTATATGTTAAATGAGAAGTAATTTCATCAAATGTCGAATGTGGCACTTTTTGTAAACAATATGTATTAAATAATGCTTATGTGACATGTCTACGTTGGTACACACGAACATATGTATGTACGTACGTACGTATATTGCAAAAAGAAGGATTGATCTTGAAAAATATTGCAGTGGCCGACGTAGTACAATTTCCTGGATTACTGAAGTCCTGGAATTTGATTATTCTAGATATTTTTAATTACTAGGATTCTGTTATATGTAAAGTTTAATTATATAGAGTTTTAACTTGTCACTAAGAAAGGGAGAGAAAAAGAACCTGACTGCGTTACATACATGTCACTTTTATAGCAGAATCTAAAGATTATCCTCAACCATACAAAGAATTCAAACGACAAATTGGGAAGTACAGTACCTTAGCACGGTGTGAAACCCGAAACGTGACCTGACGGCGGGCACGTGCCCACGTGATGCGGGAATTCCTAATTTAGATTTACCGGTAGAATTCTGCGAATTCCGCGAATTCTGGAGATCCCTTGAATAACCCGCATTACAACAATAGGACGAATTAAGGGAATAAGGTGAATTATGGGAATAAGGCGAAAAGTCGCAATAAGTGGAATTATTGAAATACCTAGAATAGCGATGATTGTAAATACTCTGTTTGCTAGCAAAATCAATTATAAATAAAGGCCGTTTTGGCCCCTGGGAATGATAACTCCCGCTTTTGCTTTATTAATACACATACAATTATACAAGTATCCCAAAAAAACCCATATAAGTCTGTCCCTAGTTAAATACATACACTTCATACACAATAAACTCGAACGACCGCTAAGTCGTTATCATCTTAGGATATACCAAGTTATCAATACGCTTACGCTATCTAACTTATACTTGGTATAAGACCATACTCAGTCAGTAACCACTCGCCAAATCTAACACGCCTTCTTTCGACGCAACATAACCAAACCTTTGGTTACACGAAGCTAACTTTCGTCAAGCGACAGACTCGCCGATTTTGGAGTTGACAACGGCAAATAAAGTTCAGTCACGTGATATAAGCAGCCAATCAAAATAATCAAAATATTGAAGATCTTTTTACGATTTCGAAAAATTTTTTAAGGTTTTCCAATAATAACTTGATTAAACTCGGTAAATATTTTTTATTTTAATTCTATATATTGGTATATATTATTAAATAAAAAAATTCATAAAATATGGATTGGCCCCTCTATTTTGATCTATAAAGTAACTTTTGTTATTAAACCTTTAGCTTTTGCATAATAAAATCTTGTATAAATTAAAATTTTAAAATAATTTATAGATTTTTTAGCAGATTGATACTTTAAGTGTCGAGATCAGTTAGGACAAATCAAAAAGAAAAAAAGTTGTTTATTAATTGTTTGCACCAAAAACCTTGTACTCAAAATATTTACTGTAAAAAATTTTTTTTGCTTGTATTGTTTCTGTACCGGTATTAAAAATTAAATGTAAATTAAAATAACAAATAATCGAATTGTTCGTATTTCCTGAGTTATACAAAAGCTCGCATTTCTAAAATATTATTTTTTTAGATATACGAGTTTTCCCTTCTCAACAATCAAATAGAATAAAAAAGTCTAAAATTAACATTCGAAATAAACTCGGTAAAACTTAATAATATATGCAATAATTACAATTATAAATACAGTAAAACCTCTCTATAGTCACACGCACGGAATACAAAAAAGCGTGATTATAGAGAAGTGTGCTAATTATAGTCAAATTTATTATATTTAATAATAGATGGTTTTTTAAAAAATAAGCTTATGAAGAAAATGTGCTTATATAGGAGGTGACTATAGGATATTTGACTGTATATATTTATTATATTTGCTAGCTTCACTATTGATATTTCTACAAATTCCATTCATTTAAGTCTATAAGTGATAACAAAAGTTTGACCTACAGTTCAGGAAAAATATTAGTCGCAAAATTACCATTAATAGTTGCAAGATCGTTGAGAAAATTCCAACGATATCGAGATACTAATACAGAAAGTAATGTAATCTTATAATTTGTTCAATTGATTCATATAATTAATGTAGACTGCATAAAAGTTACATACACTTCCTACGATCAGCTCTTATTTTATCAATCATTTCTTTATCTATCTTATATGTTTTACTTGTTATCATATCTGAAAATTTAAGATTATTAGCATGGCATCTAATAATTACGGATATTAAAATTAAACATACTCTTAGTTATAGACTGCTTTCTTGTGACACGAGAACGTCGATCTTCTTGAGTCTTTTCCTTGCCCTTGTCAGAAGAAAGTTCGTCTAGTGTAAGCAATGACATATCGGATGGTTCTTTGTAATCTAGCATGATATTATAAATGGTCAGTTAATTTGTATAGAGAATTAATAAATAAATAAAATGATTTGTTTTTTTTTTTTTACCTATAATGTCTATTTCACCTGTTGCTGAGTCAAAAAGTGCATTGTGACCATCAAAGTTTTGAGGTTCTAGAAGGCTCAGGTAATGTAACATTCTGCTAGTGTAGAAAGCTTGAGGGTGTACAGTAACGTGACCAGTGTTTACTTTCTTGGTATTAGGACCTTGGATAGGTTCTTTTTCGCTTGACAAGTAACGCCATTTGTTTAACATATTTAACAGTTCATCAATGGTTGGCCGTTTAGAGGGATTACTGTTCCAGCAACGAAGCATTGCGACTGCATAACCTTTAGGCGTTCCAGAGATTATAGGAGGCCTTAAGCCTTGACAAATATTTATAATCATGAGCTCTATCGGCAAACGGTGGCTCGTTCGATGACAACTCCCACATTATCGTTCCGAGACTGTATATATCAGCCGCCGTAGTGTATTTACCACCCCTCAACACTTCAGGAGCCACGTACGGAAGCACACCATAATGATAAGAATTCCAACCTTTAGTTTCATATACCGGATGACACATCTCAAGGCCAGTGATGAAGACCAACTTTTCATGTATCAAAATTTTACCACTGAATTTTTTCAAATAAAGAATCTTAACAAGTTAAATTAAAAGATAAAAAATATACATATGATTTATTTATACCTATGGAAATTACTATGAACCAATCTAGCATCATGAATTCCTTTCAATGCTTTTGCAATACGATTAAATAATACTATTTTCTCATCCCAAGTCAAATCAGTAAAATAATTGGAAAGATAATGGCGTAAACTTCCTTGTTTAGCATATCGAGTCACCATCACATTATTTCCAGTTTTTGTATCTCTACTAACACCGTAACAATCGATTATTCCAAAACTACGTTTACAGTGACGATAGGCTCTAAGCTGTATATTGATACAAACGTAAATAAAAGTTGATCTCATGACCAAGTACTGCCTGTCAAGTACTATACAGCATGAAAGCAAATTTTCTAACGCGTATAGTGATTTTAAACATTCATTACCTCTTTCAATAAATTTTCCGAATTATATAGAAATTTGAGAGCAACGTTTCCCCAATTTTCAGAATATGCAGAACAAACAGAGCCAAAACCACCTCTTGCAATGTATTCGATATTAGTAAATTCTTCAAAAGGGATCCATCGAATATAATCAAATGGAGTATTAGCGTTCAGCTGAGTTTCCCTGATAAAGTTATCAAGGTCCTTGTCCATTTGTCAAACTGAGACTTAAGTTTATTCGTATTACACGGTTTACAACATCCCAATACGCAAGGTTCTCCACATTTTCCACATCTTCTTACATTTGGAATCGAAGGTATAGAAATACCTACTTCTTTTGCTAATGATAATATTCAAAATGATTAATTATTAGAACATGTAATATTCAAAGTTGTCGTGGTATGCTAGAAATTGCATCTATTTTAATATGAAACTTAAATTTTTGTATACACATATATATATTGGTTTATTTATAATTAGATTAGGATTTAGAGCTATATTTGAAAATAGCTTAGTACGTGTAGATTGATAGTGGTTATGTTTTTAAATAAAGACAACAATTTCTAGTCTCGCCGTTTTCAGCATCAACCACGACAGAAATTATGCTTGAGATTAATAAATTACCCAAAGATTTAAGAACTGTCGAGTAATCCATGAAATATTTTTTACTTCGGTCGCTTATTTCTGTATTATTATATAGATTCAAATAATGAATTTGTACAATAATTTTGTGTAATTGAATAACTTTGGAGTGTATTACAAGCTCAGCTATTCCATTAGGAAGGTTTAAAATTTCCTCAATTGTACAATTGTGTAATTAGGAATTTATCCTAAACCAACCATCTTAACGTTTACCTGATTGATAATTATACAATTGTGTAATTAAGATTTATCCTAAAGCAACTATCTTAACGTTTGTGTGAGTAATAAATTTCCTCAATAATAAATTGTGTAATTAGGATTTATCCTAAAACAACTATATTACCGTTGTGTGATTGATAAATTTCTTAATAAAACAACTATATGTTGTGTGACTGATATTTGAACAATCTAGATAAAAAAATGTACAAATAATAAATGAATGTTTGGCATAATTCCTTAATTTATCAATTTCTTAATTTGCCAATTTTCGTTTTTAAATTTGTCAATTCCTTTATTTGTCAATTTCTCAATTTGCTAATTTCTTAATTTGCCAATTTATTATTAATTTATGCTTTGTCAAACTCAATTAACCAATACTTTTTTAACATCTGTCTGGTCCGCTCCGATTTCAATAAGATTCAATAATTATTCGACATTTGCCTTAATCTCTAAACTATGCGAGTGAAAAAAGCTTATAAGGCATACATATAGATAAATAATGATTAAAAAGTACTCAATAAATTGGTTTTGCAAAAATACAAATTTTAGGTATATTGAAATCACGGAACTATTGTGTTTAATATTCAAATTTTAAAATCATGTTCTCAAAAGCTTAATTTAAATAATTAGTGTTCTCGAAATTTTTTATGTTCATTATATAGAATTATGTAAATATTTATATTTTAAATTTTATTAAAAAATAAATTCTTATATAACACAAAAAAAAACCCTCGGTATTTTTAAAATCTATCTTCTGTCTGTCTCCCTACAATATTTTGGAGCTTAGAATTTATTTCTTTTTGTGTTGATAAGTTTTCTAGTGTACAATACATGTGATCATGATGCCGAAGTTTGTTAACTAATAGTGTTTGGCTATTTCATCGACATCGAGGAACAGCTTTCAAAAATATATGCCAATCCATAAATTATTGTATATGTCTAAAGTAATAGGTCGTTTTTGTGGATCAGGAATCTATGCATTGCTTTTGCGAATTAGATGTAACAATTAGGATTCCATGGAGCGAATTTTAAACGCAAGCCATGCAAATAATGTTAATTGAATTAAAGAGTCGACCGTCTAAAACTTTTTGACTAGTTTACATCTCTGACATAATGACGCTAACAACGTAGATATCTGCAGCTTGAGTGAATGGTTTTCCTTGAAAATATGGATTTTTGTATATAATAATTACTTATGACTTATCCCTTAATTAATATAAGGTAACAAGAATAGTTTTAAATTTTATTTAATTAAAAATGTTTTTTATGAAATTTTACCATTGGATATTTCATTATTTTAGCTAACTCTAATTCAACTTTTAATTGGCTCAATTTTACAAGCAACATTTTAATATTGAAAATAAAGCACGTTTATTTTGATTATTTGATAAGTTTTGTTTGGTCAAAAATTATATGGAAAAATTTTTATGGTGCGTTATCTGAAATGTTCAGAACCTAAAAAATTATGGTATAAAAAAATTTGCTGTTAGATAGAGTCAAGTTTTGCTAATAGACTGGTAAAAAAGGGGCTTTATTAGCTAAAAACTTGCAAAGTAACCTTTTTGTTAGTGCACAGAGGCAGTTCAATGGATAGAATGCTGAGACACGAACAATTTTTATGTTCCTTTTACGCACACTTGATCTTGAAATTTTTTATATAATAGAAACTTTTTAGAATGATAATATTAGTACTCCTCGATAGATTTCTTCAGGTTAAAGAATTATATTGTAAATTTAAATAATAGTGTTTTTCAATAGAAATAAAAAATAATTTCCGAATATTATTGTTTTCACCATACCTGAGACATCCGAAAATTTCGCGATAATATAATCGATAAGACTTAATCAAACATACAGTACGTGAGTTTTATGATCGTGAGATTGAAATATAATGTTGATATAATATCCATGTCGTATTCTATATACAATGTGATCTAATAATCTTCCTGCAATCTATATGTATAATAAAGACTTTATCCATTCGTCTCTCAATGTCTTAAGGTTCGAGTGATTTCAATAAAATATGTCACATAATAAATATATAGTTAATTCTTTAAATATGTGAACTTCTATGTTTAAAAACATTTTATGGTCAAAGACTGTAAACGTGAAGATTATAATTTAAAAGTATACAATATAATTGACCATTTTACTGCCATTTTTTTTTTTTTTTTTTTTTTTGCCAACTAGTACATGATCATGTGGCGGATTTGCCATCCATTTAGTGATTGGCAGTTTAAATCAAATTAATTTTACATTATTTATACAGTTTAAAGTACTTTTTAAAAAAAATAAAACTACAAGGACTCCACTATTAAAAATAATAAAAATTCTTTTTTGTTTTAGAGAAGTTAGCATGGTGATAACCTAATTTTAAGAAGTCGCTATTATGCTAACTTCTCTAAAACAAAAAAGAATTTTGATTATTTTTAATAGTGGAGTCCTACAACCCTAATAAAACTTTTTACATACTTCTTTTTGTTTATTCGTAGTAGTTTTATTTTTTTTAAAAAGTACTTTAAACTGTATAAATAATGTAAAATTAATTTGATTTAAACTGCCAATCATACGAATGTCTGCCTATGAATGATGGACGGCATAACACAGCTGAGAATATTTATTGTCGCGGCTGACCTGAAATTGGCTGATGTTGAAATTTTTGGGTCTCGATTTAAAAACATAAGCCTGCTAAGGTCTACCTATACTCTTTAATTATCAAATTTAATCCTAAACACTAACATAACTCTAAAAAAAAAACGGAAAAAACATCCCCAAAATTTTAATTTTCATATAAATATAGGTCCAAATTCCAGAATCAGCCACGGCAAATATTATTTAAATAGTTTTAGCCACGAAATTGTATCTTACTGTCAACTTGATTAGCAGCCAGTCACTGAGAGTTTTATTAAACATAAAATAATTGGTGTTGTGCAATACGCATGATTTTTTAGTGCTATATTGCAGCCAAAGTTTAAGCCAATTCGGGAACATTCCGAAACTTCCTAGAAAATTCCCATGCGCATGAAATTCAAAAATTTGCCGATTTGCACAACACTAAAAATAATGACAAATATATAATATAATACGTAATTTGTCTCCTAATCACTTTGCATATTCTCTATCCAATAATAGAGTTACATAAGACCCATCTCGATTTATTGCTAGAGTGGCATAATGGTACGATCACTCATTGGCCTTGCTCATGTGATATTTGGTTGCACTGACTATCGAGGGTTGTTGAATTATAATATTACTAGCATGTTGAAAGACATTGAATAAAATGATTCAAGGCAGAGTAAAAGAAAACTTACCTGTGATCCAGTTTTAATTAATGGAGTGATTGACTCGCAGCTTATTTATATCACATGATTAAAACGTATGTATTTAATCCCGCGATGAACGAATTGAAACGTTTCACGACATTTTTTACAGCAATTTTTACTCATATGTATTGTACGTGCCTATGTGCTAAGATTATTTATTATTCTAAAATGTTACCCTTACCAACCGAATGCTTTTTCAAAATTTTTGATAACCTTCGTGCTAATTATAAAAGCTTATTTTCATGCCTTCTTGTAAACCGCGAATGGTGCAGAATAGTTATTCCTATATTATGGAGTGAACCAACAATCCATATTAATGATATTAGGCTTATAAGAATATTTCTTTTAATGCTAAATTCCGAAGAAGAAGCACTATTAATTCCTCTTAAAATTATCCTTCCAAACTATCAAAAACTATTGTTTGATTATTCAAGTTATACTGTATCTATTGGTTATGGTTTGCATGATGGAATTAAAAATTATATTCTTCAAACAAAAGATAGAACCATACGTAATATATCTGCAATCACCGGTGCTGTAAACACTTTTAAATGTTCTTTGATTGCTATGTTCTTACGATCAAGTAAGAGACTTAAATATTTAAAGCTAGGAGAAATCATTTACTGTAAAATAATGTTTGAAAATCTTTATAAGAACACCACCGTTATTACTGTTGATTTTTATATTAAAGATGATTTTAAACTTAAGGCTATAAAAGCATTAGCGAAAATTCTTTGCGAAAATACTACTCTGACTTATTTTAATCTTAGCCATAATCGACTTGGTTCTGAAGGAGGAAAAATGTTAGCTGAGGCTCTTTGCGAGAATACTGCTTTAACTTCTTTGAATCTTAGCAGTAGTCAACTTGGCTTTGGGGGAAGTAAATCATTAGCAGAGACACTTTGCAAGAACGTTACTCTTACCTCATTAGGTCTTTGGAATAATAATATTGGATTTAAAGGGGGAAAAGTGTTAGCAGAAGCCTTATGCAAGAATAATACTTTGACTTCTTTGAACATTAGCATTAATCAACTTGGTTCTGAAGGAGGAAAAGCAATAGCAATGGCTCTTCACAAAAATACTACTCTGAACACTTTGAATCTTGGCATTAATCAGCTTGGCTCCGAAGGAGGGAAAGAGCTAGCAGATGCTCTATGTAAAAATGCTACTCTGACTTCTTTGGACCTTCACTATAATCAACTTGGCTCTGAAGGAGGAAAGGCGTTAGCAAAGGCTTTATATAAGAATTCTACTTTGACTTCATTAATTCTTTGGAATAATAATATTGGCCTTGAAGGAGGGAAAGCATTAGCAGAGGCTTT